TTTAACAATTGACATTTCGTTTGCAGCCAAGAAGCGAGCAAATTGTGCAAAATTGCAAATTGCAAAAGTACGAAGAAAAAACGAAAAGCAAAAGAGAAAAACTTTGAAGCAGATAAACAATAAACAGCAGAGGGAAGCTCTTACATAATGGACAACAAATGCTTTTTGTGCAGTAAAATTAGTTTTTAAATAGTTTGGAAGAGGCAAAGGTGAGTTGCAAAAACAAAAAAAAAATGAAAATAAAAAATAACTAAATAAATAAATGTTAAAAAGTTAAAAAGAAAAATTACAAAATAAAAACAACAAAAATTAAAATTTTAGAGACGCCTGACAAGTGGTTATCAGACACCCGAAAACACAAAAAAGGCATTAAAATATGAAGCCAACCGAAAACACCCCCAACGCGTACCCCAACCACAGCCAACAACAATCAGTTCCAGCAAATGTCAGCAAAAACGAAGTTCACAATAAAATGGGACACTTGTATGTGGGTAATGCACACATACACATATTCACAGCAATTTTCTCACACTTCAAAAAAATTATGCGAATAAATATTTAACTGTCTCTTGAATTTTTTTGATTTTCTTTTTTTTTTTTTTTTGAAGGCGTATTAACCGACTTCAAGTGCAAATCTTGTTATGGAGGCTCTTGAAGAAAAAATAAATTAAATAAATGTATATTTGGCATATATTTCGAGTTAATTGAAGGTCGTCAAACGGCGTAAGCATTTAAATAATATTTTTTGAATTGAGCTGTATTTAATTTTATTTTTACTTTTTAAACACTTCAAAGCGCATTTTTTTCAAAAAAAAAAAAAAAAAAAAATAAAACAAACACAAAAAAAAAAAAAAAAAAATTATAATATATAATAATAAAAAATTAAACACGAAATTCCCATCAAGTAACCTTTTTGATTAATTTACTGCCATTTCTGTGATAAAATATTAAAACAAGAATAAAAAATTATTTACAAAATATTATTTAACAAGACTACCAACTAAAAAACAAAAAGAAAATAAATAAAATTGTCATAACAACTGAAGTAGGTGTAGTTTGTACAAACATATAAATATATAAATATACAAATATATAAATACATATACATATATATATATATAGCTATATATGAATGTGCATAACTATTTATACATACATATTTATATGGCCTTAGCTGTCGGCTCGTAATAAACAAATATTTTTAGGCAAATTTACCCAAATATGAATTTTCTCTTCAACTTCTATATAAGAAATATATATATATTTTTTTTAATTCCCACACATGCACAGTTTTCTATAAAACCGCAAAGAAGCTGGTCATACTTGAATTAAGAAGGCAAACAAAAAATCTCTGAAGATGTGATGTTTGAATGTTCATTACACAATAAAACATTTATACTTAATTAAATTCAATTCTAAGCTGAAAAAAATAATAAAACATTAAATAAAATAGAACTAAAATAAAATAAAAAACTAAATTAAAAAACATAAAAATTTAAATAATGTAAAATTAAATAACATAAAAGAAAATAAAATGAAATAAAATAAAGGAAAATAAAATAAAATAAAATAAAATAAAATAAAATAAAATATAATAAAATAAAATAAAATCAATTTACGTTCTGAAGTAATCAATCAAAAAAATAGAAAAATGATGTTAAAAAGTAAAAAAAAAAAATATACATACATATATATATTTTTATATAAATTATAAATAAAGCTTAATATACTAAAATGAAGCAAAATAACATTAAAATATTTAACTAAAGGAAATAAAATTCGAATAAGGGAAAATAAAAATTATTAAAATATTTTTAATTTGCTTAACAAAGGGTATTAAGATAATAATAATAAAAAATAATGTGTTAAGCAAAATATAAATGGAACGAAAAAAATCAATTTAATCAATTGAAATAAAGCAAATTAAAAAAATAAATAAATATAAAATAAAATTAAATTAAATAAAGGAATAATGAAATTAATTTTAACTAAATTAAATTTGGTTAAATAAATTTAAAATAATTTAAAAAGAAACTAACAAAATAATTAAAAAATATATATTTACTTTGTTAAATAAAATTAAACAAATGCAATAAACTTAATTTAAAAAATACTAAAATAAATCAAATTAAAATAAAAGGAGAATAAATAAATTAAATTAAATTAAATTAACTGTGATTAAACAAAATAAAACAAAATGAATTTAGAAAATAATAATTTGTAAAATAAAAAAGAATAAATGAATGATAAATTAAAATAAAGCAGATTAAAAAAAAAAGTAATAAACATAAAATAACCTAAGCAATAATAAAATAAAAAATAAATTAAATTAATTTTGAATAAATAAAGTAAAAGAAAATACAACTAAAATAAAGCAAATTGAAACAAGTTTAATAAAAACAAAACAAAATATAAAAGTTAAATTCAATTTCGTAAAAGAAAGTAAAAAAAATAAAACAATATTATTTTCTTAAATAAAATAGAGTAATTTAAAAAAATTTTAAAATTATAAAACACAATAAGAACAGTAAATTAAATAAAATAAAGTAAAAAAGAGTTTGTTAAACAAGACATTACAATTTAAATTTTACTATCAAAAATTAAACAATATAAAAAAATTTAATTAAATTAAATAAAAATTTGAAATTAAAATAAAATAGATAGATTAAAAAAATTATTAAATAATATAGAGCAAAATGAAACAAAACAAAATAATGAATATACTAAAGTAAAGCGAATTAACAAACTTTAAAAAGTGTTAAATAAATAAAAAACACCAATCAAATAAAAATTTATTTTATTAAATGACGTAAAATAAAAGATAACAAAACAACTTCAAAAAAATCGTTTCTTAAACAAAAAAAAATAATAATAATCGGCTTCATTGGGAATTTCATGTGAAAAAATGCGTGTGAACATTTTTAAAGTAAAACAAAAATAAATTTCGAATAAATAAATAAACTTCCACAAGAATTTTAGAACATGAAATTCCCAATAAGGACATCGGAGTATGAAAATTTTATTTAAAGTGGAAATCATTTAAAAAATTAAAAAATTATAATATTAATGTACATGTATGTAAGTATTATTTGTTTATTATTACTTGAGAGAATTTACAAAATTCAATGCTTAATTACCTACTCAGCCAAGTTCCTTCATTTGAGCATAGAGTACACCCAAGCTTGTTCATTGGTAATTCGAGTTTTTTTTTCGAACATTTTGAACGCAATTTTTGACTTTTAATTGATTTATACAAAATGCAAAAACAAAAGTAAAGAAATTTTGAAAAACAAAAAATTGAAAATTAAAAAGTTTCAAACAAATATTTGAGCAGTTGAGCAATTAACGGATATCGAGCTGTCGTACTTCTCGTTAACCGGGTAACTAGAGCTCTACTGCAGACATATGTACGTATGTACATATGAAAATTGAAGCGCTTTACGAATTTCACTTTTTGAAAACATACATACATACGTACATATGTATGTACCTAAGTCGTATATTGGAGCACTGAATTAGATTGCCATTTTAACAATGAACTTAATGACACCGAGGTCAATGGACCAATGAAGTGGTCATTACAAATGAGAGGCATGTACATACATATCTACATATATAAACTGTATTAGGAAATAAAATGCACAGTAAGCAAATAATAAACAAAATTTCAATTTCACTTTTTTGATGTATCATTAAATTCGTTTTCTTTTTAGCCTGCTTGTGCGTTTTCTTTATTTAATTTTTTTTTTTTTTTTTTTGCAAAATAATCGTTGAATAATATATTTCGTTATAATTACCACGCCTTTTCGGTGGCAAGCAAGTGAACGTACGACAGACGGACAGACAGACAGGTGAAATGACTATTCGCTACCTATTTTTTACAGCTCGAAAATATATTATGACGAAACTATTACAATACATACATTTAATTCAAAAGAACCAATCCTTTAACTTTCCTTTGTTGGCATACATACATACATATAAACAATGTGGCTGTGTAATATCACACGAAACGAAGGTGTGGATTATGATTTTATACCAACGTATTTATGTTTGTATTTACTATGTAAAATTTAAATAAGCACAAAAGTAGATACACTTGTATGTTTGTATATATAAATAAATATGCATACAGCTAGATTAAAGGGAACGGCCTGTATCTACTCTAGCTGACCGCAGAACTAAAAGACAGAGAGAGTGTGAAATGCCATCAGCGTTATCAGAAGCGGATGTAGATGCAAGCAAAAAATCGCAAAAAATATTAAAATCATATTTCCGTTGTTATACGCTACAGACAGAGTAAGCCTGCGGCTATAGACAGCTGATAAATAATGCGAAGGATAAAATATAGAACTAAGGATTAGACGTAGGGCTGAAAAGTAAAATAAATTGTGTTTTATCTGTATGTGGCTAAGGTTGAGCGTTGGACTGAAATTGAATTAGCAACGTACCGTGGACTGCTGCAAGAAGCAGTTGTAAGTAAGCTTCAGCAATGCTGTCTAAGGTATGAGGAACCTAACACATAATTTTTAAATATTCTTTAAACAAGTCAGCGTACACTGAAAACATATTAAACGGCAGTGTTGAAAATAAACAGGCATCCAGTGACACTGTCGTTTTAGTATCATTCTACATCGACTACAAAACCCTCATAATATAAAAATTAATACTTAATTGAAGAGCTTAAAACGGCTGAATATTAATAAAGTTTAAAGTGTCTGAATATTTTCAAATATGCTTGTTACATACGTACATACATGTCTCATAAAGACAGTATCTAGTATTTTAGATCGACGAAATAACTAAAGCAAAGCGTTTAAGCAAGTTCACGCTTGATACTGTTAGAAAATTTGAAATTTATTAAACAACTTTTGCTTTTACTATTAAGTAGTGTAACATTTACCGATACGCATACCCAAAACAACAAAACCTTAAGTAGTTATAATAAAGAAACAAATAAAATTTGTAAATTTGCGAATTTACGGTGTATCTACACTTACCTCCTCAGCAGGCAGCCAACACCATTAATCGTTTTTAACAGGTAATAGAAATTCCTCACGCACTGATTCACCTACACTGTCTGGCAAATGTTCATGTTAATTTATATGTATGTATACAAGTAAGCTTGCAAATCCAATAAGTATGTAATATCTTTTTGCCAATAAGATTTAATAAAGAGAAATTAGCTAAAATGATTTTTTCCAACAGTGATGCTGCTTCTTCTTCGATTTGCTTTGACTTTTCTTATTTTCTTTTTTTTTTTTTTTGATATTTTTTGTTTGTTTTTCTGTATTCACTTGCACCGCTCCCTATTGGAGAAAACCATTCATACATATAACAATTTTCATAATAAAATCACTTTTTGATGTAAATGGAAGAAATACTTATTTAGAGCAAATTTTGTTCACACTTGCACTGCCCAAATTCGAAAACACACCAAAAACTCCACTTGCAATTATCTGCTGTGTATATATTTTCCACGTACACTTGCACTCGAGCAAACCACCGCCTCAAGTGTGATCTTTCTTATTTTAATTATATATTATTTGCACTTTATTTAATACACATTTGTCTCTTTTCATAATAACTTCGTTTTTTTTAGAAGGATGGAGACTGATTTTAATAATTAGAAACAGCGATACGCGTATCTTTACAAGAGAGTCTGCTCGTTTTCACCGATTTGTTGTTTTTGATTTTTTTAAACAACAAATTTTCTGCTTTCCTCTTCGAGCAGTTTTTTCTGATTGGATTCAGTGAACGTAAATCAATTTACGTTCTCATGTCATGACGGCATCATGCTGTGGTGTGGCCACATTAATTTAATTTTTTCTTAATTACTTTCTAAAACAATTTCAAAAAATTATAAAATGTTTGAAAGCACTAGTAATGTATTGAAAATGATTGAGGCTTTAACTTAAAAAAATAAATCAAAGAATTTGCAAGGCGAAAGCTCTATTAGCATATATCGTATTCACAGCTGTTTGCACAAAATCATAACAGTGGCAGCGTGTCGATGATATCAGCAGAAGAAATGTTGCCAATTCTAGAGATTTGTATTTAAACCCCATAAATATCCCTTATAAAAATTTCTTTTTTAAGTTTTTAAATTAATATTTGTTTAATTTTTTCTTACATATTGATAATATTAAAAATTTAAGTAATTCAGTAAAATGAACTTATTATTTTATAATCTACGTTTGGTTGGTTAGAACATAGCGTTACATAGCTTGACATTGATATTACTAAAATTCCCTCAGCACTTGTCAAAGGGGCATCACCGTCAAGGAGGAGTTTTCGGTATTTTCCAGTGATATTTTTTATAATTTTATCCATCTAGCAAAGTACGGGAAATGTCGAAAAATAAATTAAATTTAACACTACCTCCAGGAGCCGTTGATGCTACTGTGGCTGCTTCACAGGTTGTGCCCACACCGCCATTCAAAACACCATCAGGAACAGAGTAAATATCCCACATAAATTTTTTCTATTGATTTTTTCTTCACTGCACTTTGTAGTCTTTTTAGTCATTAATTTTTGTCCTTTGTTTCTGGTAATGATAACGTCGCTCCATTACTCTTTTACTTCGTTTTGTTTTTTATAATTTGTGATGAAGTACCTACAATATATCCGCGATTGCGACCAAATAATACCATATGAAGCATATACACATACGGAAAATTTTAAGAAGCTGAAAAGTTGTTTTTTTCGTATAGTTTAATTCATACAAGTATGTAGATCATTCGAGTCCAGAAATTTAATATAAGCTCTTGAAATGAGCATAGCGTTAGCTAAAAGAGTGTAAGACTGTTTAAGGAACAGGAGTATTTTCAAAATACCGGCAAGGTGCATTTAATTTTTTATTAGAGCTTCCGGTGAATTGACGCTTTAATTTTCCATGTATCATTCAGCACGGTGCAGGTGCAACGTATACCATGGTATCAAAATGCTTCTGCGTTTTCACTTAATTTTTCCTTTATCGTAGCTATTTTCCCCTCTCCCTCTCTTAATTTTGTTGCTTTTCATTTTGTTGCACAAAAATTCATTAAAAAGTTGAATTAAAGAAAACATAGTTTACTGGGGAAGCCGAAGACGAGCATAGAGGCGCTAACGGAGACCCTGGAGGAATTGGAAATGGATGATTCAGCACGGAATCGTATTAAAGTATTTCTAAGTCAAAAGGAAAAAATTGGCGAGCTATCTGACGAAGATCTCGAGAAGCTCGGTGAGCTTGGTTCCGGTAATGGTGGTGTTGTGATGAAAGTACGACATATACCAACAGAGCTAATAATGGCACGGAAACTAATACATCTCGAAGTGAAGCCTGCGATTAAAAAGCAAATTATACGGGAATTGAAAGTCTTACACGAATGTAACTTTCCGCACATTGTGGGTTTTTATGGCGCCTTCTACAGCGATGGTGAGATCAGTATTTGCATGGAGTATATGGATGGTGGCTCGTTGGATTTGATATTAAAACGTGCTGGACGTATACCGGAATCAATATTGGGTAAAATAACATTAGCTGTGCTAAAGGGACTCAGCTATTTACGTGATAAACATGCCATTATGCATAGAGATGTCAAGCCCAGTAATATATTGGTCAACAGTAGTGGAGAGATTAAAATTTGTGATTTTGGCGTATCAGGGCAGTTAATTGATTCGATGGCCAATTCGTTTGTAGGCACGCGCAGCTATATGTCGGTAAGTGGCATACTCGTACATGTATAAATTTTCTATGTAATTATGTTTTAAAATATAATTTTTTTCTCTACCTACAGCCCGAACGATTACAGGGTACGCACTACTCAGTGCAATCAGATATTTGGTCACTCGGCTTATCATTGGTTGAGATGGCAATTGGTATGTATCCAATACCGCCGCCTGATGCCAGCACACTAGAAGCGATATTCAATGACAACCCTGAGGATGGCCAACAGACTGTAGTAGAACCCAAAGTGATGGCTATTTTCGAACTGCTCGACTATATCGTCAATGAACCACCGCCCAGATTAGAGCACAAAACATTCACCGATGAGTTTAAAGACTTTGTAGACATATGTCTAAAGAAGAATCCCGATGAACGCGCGGACTTAAAGACATTGCTGGTATATATTAAAATGAAATATGATTTTAATAAAAATAATAAATTTTATGTTTTCACAGAATCACGCATGGATACGCAAAGCTGAAGTTGAGGAGGTAGATATTGCTGGTTGGGTGTGCAAAACAATGGATCTACCACCATCGACACCAAAACGCAATACATCTCCGCAACAATAAATAAAGGCTAACAAAGTGTTTTTGATAATTATAAATAATTAATGTGCATTTGCTTTAATTTTATTTATAAAAATATCCTACCTAATAAATGTACTCATTAACGTAAATGCATGCGAAAAAAAACGAAAATTTTCTTATATCCCATTAAATTCATTTTTTTTTATTTGATAATATGAAGTATTACTGATAGAGATGTGTGTCCAAAGGACCTACATTAACAAACAAAGTTTTAAAACTGTTTTAAATTAAACTTCTGTAATTCAAAACTTAAAAATTTGCACCGACCGCAGGGTTCCTTACTCCATTCATATATCGTTTGGTATGCATGGAGGCTTTCATTGGATGTGTATAAATTATTCTCAAGACTTTTAAAATAAAATACACCTTTTTGGCTTTCGACATGCAAAATATTTTCTTTTATTATGGTATTAAATAATCATGTAATCCATAAATTTAATATTATAATTACTTTTCGAGCACACATAATTTCTACTTATATAAAAAATGTATGTATTATATGTATGTGTGAATATGCATATGTAAAGTAAAAGTCCATGTATCCAACATGGTTAAAATCCATTACAATTGTAAAATATTTTGATTTTGTTTGTTTCTCTTAAATCTAAATACTTGTATGGTAAAAAAATATGTTTAAAAAATTTCTGTATGTATGTATTATGCTGTATTTAGTTGCTTAAAGGTTGTAATAATCGACAAATTCAACGGTGCGTCTGTAACACATCGGATTCAATCTGACCGGTTTCCATTTCTTCTACAAATTCCAAAAGACCAATAAAGGTAACAGAGAGAAAACAACGTAACAATATGTAAAACATAAAGAAAAAGATAAAGAGAAAGAAAAAATGTACAAAATGAGATTAATTAAAAATCGCACATAATGCAACTACAATACATATTCTGTATATATAAATAATGTATATAGTATATATATCGATATACATATATGTATATATGGGAATGCATAAACGCGTACGGAATGTTTGAGCGTAAAAGCAATTAACGAAATATGCAAGCTTTACGGGATGCAGTTAGCGCGCGCGCGTGCGCTCCATTTTTCAAATTATTTTCAAAAAAAAAACCAGAAAGAATTTCCATTAGTTTGACATGCATCTTTTTTTGTTACGTGGATATTTGCATTGCTGCTAAGTTTCGAAAAATCTACCCAAAAAGCGTTTGAACATAAAAACGCAACCACAAAAACTAAATATGAATATGATGACCAAAAATATTAACGAAATATAAAACTAAACTGTTGCACTGGGTAGTGGTGGTGTAGGCGGTATAATATTCGGTATTGCTACAACGCATGCACCGGCACGACTATATGTTAACGGTGCAGCTTGTGTCCATTCATTTGTCTCTGCATTGTACACCTCCACCGTTTTCAAATAATGGTTGCCATCATAACCACCAATTGCCATAAGACGATCACCAAGCAATGCACAGCCGATGGCATCGCGTCCAGTATTTAGTGAACAGATCTGGAAAATTAAGTTAAATTATAAGATGACTAACATACACAGATGCGAAACTTCATACTAAAGTCCAGGAATCTGTTGCAGGATCATAACGCTCCACAGTATCGGTACGACAAACGGATGGATTGCTGGCGGGACAATCGTGACCGCCCAACGCATATAGGAAGCCATTTGCAACAGCGACCTAGAGGAATAGAACTCCATTATATAAAATAAACGGTATAAATCAATATGCTATTTGCACTTACACCTACGCCACCACGTCGCTTGTTCATGGGAGCACGCATAGACCACTTATTTGTGTGCGGATCATAACATTCGATCGAGCGATGACAAACCGAACCATCACGACCGCCAACCACATATAAACGTCCACCGAGTACTGCAACACCAGCGGTGGAACGCATGGAGGACATGGATGCCACATAGCTCCAAGTGCGTGTATTGGGATCCCAGCTAAATATTTAATTTAGATTGACAAATTTTCTTTAAACAATTTACTTCTTGCGTTGAAGAACTTTCATGTTGACACATACCGTTCAACTGTGGACAAATAACTCCAGCCATCATGCCCACCAACCGCATAGAGTGGTCCCTCCAACACCGCAACTCCCAAGCCATGACGATGAGTACCCATTGGATTCAACAAGGTCCAAGCCATCGTATTCAAGTCTAAACTCTCTACTGTATTGAGCGTTTTTAAGCCATCACGACCGCCCACTAACACCAATTTATCGTCCATTACGGCAACACCGAACTGTAGTCGCCGTGCAGACATATTCTTCCACACAGACCACTTATCCCCATACGGGCAATAGCTCTCAATACTTATGGCGCCCTGTGGAATGTGAAAAGTATGTTAAAAAATATATATTTCTTTTTATTCTTTCTTTCATATTCATTGCTCACCTTATGTGCATCCATACCACCCACCGCTAGCAAGCGACCCACTGTGGATTTACGTGGTTTTGTGCGTTCCGAGGCAATTAAAGCCAGCAAATTTCGTCGCTCAGGTAATAAATGCCATTTCAACGCTTCCATAACTAACTGCTGACACTCATTTGAACTGCAAAGTGTCTCAACGTGATCCATTATGAATGAAGGCTTCAGCAATGGCAAACGCACCAATGCCAATAGCTCAGGAATGTGCTTCTCCCGACTGGCTGGATCGTGTTGTACCCACATCTTAAGACTGTGTACTACCTCCTCCTCGGTGGGCACATTGAGATCATCGCTTGAGATTAGTTTGCCCAACTGTTCGGAGTCGAGTTGCAAGAATTCTTGATTTTTGCATACCTGGTAAGTATTGATAGAGAAACATTCATTAAAAACACCGCTATATTAATAAAGCTGATCAAGTTTACCTGCATAAAATGCTGACATGTGTAGGATTTAGCTAAGCGCAATAGAGTTGTGCAGCTTTGTCGTTCCGCGAAGAAGGCAAAACCAAGGCAGTTTGATGGATGCAGCTGACGTGCTAGGAAATTACAACAGGCAGTTACCACAGCATTTAACTGTAGCAGACAGGCAGTAGCCAATAGGGTTTCAACAGTATCTTCACGCAACTCTATATAGCCCGTATAACAGTATTGTATTAATATTTGTAGAGCATCGCCATGCACCTCGCCAAGCGTGACTTCCTGCTCTTTGGTCTCACGCAATGAACCGGTGAACATGGCGGCAAAATATGCGCTCGATGCCGACAAGACCACACGATGTGCAGGCACTCTGGTTGGCAGTAGCGAAGAGTTGTAGAATGAATATATTAAGCAAAAAAAAAAAAATAAAAAATAAAAATAAAATCATTAAAAAATTATCACTTTAGTTATATTTTCAGGAAAATTCATATTCTCTTCTATGTAGAGAGTTAGGCAAACATTAAAGCCATCTTATAATAATATCTTGGAGGATCAATAACCAGAACTCATTCATTTTAGTCAGGTGAATGTGCAGGTGATTTCATGAATCACATACATATGTACATATGTAAACAATGATGCAGTGGTAATTTAAAGGGTTTATTGTATTTATTTAGTTGCTTTCATCGCAAAAATGAATAACCAAATTAAACGGAAAACGCAAAAAATAAAAAATAACTTAAAAAAATAAATACAACAATTTATCTACCTTTACAGTTATGGGCGATGATTACCCATATATTTTATTTATTTGTGTGTTTTATCACACTAAATGTTATCAGCGTTTAGGGGAGACATTTCAGTTTATTCATGCACACTATTTTCTATTTTTTTTTTCATATCTACGAACATGTACATATGTATGTACACGTTTACGGCTATTCCATTGTGTATTTTGACTTCATAATACACTATTCGTCGGGTAAAATATAAGCAACAGTTCATGAGAAACAAAGCAAAACAAAAAACCAAAGAACTTGTCCATTGCCGCACGTCACCTTCACCTTAACATCACCAACCATACCACCCAACGCAATGCTGTCGTTTGCAGCACTTTATTTATTTACGTTTGTTGTTTTTGTTTTGCGTTGTACATTCGTAAAAATTTATTATTTAAAACAGGCGCGCTCGTAATACATCACATATACACAACAGCTCGCTGTCATTCCGTGGAACGAGCAGTAAAGTGTATAAAGTGCATAAAGTGGAGGGCATACAAGAGTGCGAAGAGGTGTATTCGGCTATCCAATTGTCGTACTAGCTGCTAGCACTTCTTTGTTTGGACTGGCTTTTCCTATAGTAGCCCAGCACTTTGCAGACAAAGAATCAGACGCTGCACTAAGATTAGTGTGCGAAACTTTTTACATCTATATACATATATGTATGCATATGTTCTTACATACATGCATCCACACATTTGAAGATGAAGAGTATAGATAAATGATGGAGTATATGTACATACATGTGTCCGACTCGCAGATCACTTGTGACGCAGTATGCGCTTCTTAACTCTTTCGTTATGTGTAAAGCATTTTCATATGTTCCTTGTAACTAGTGCCTTTGTTTATTTGTGGGACTTACGACCTGACCTTAGTTGTCTATTTTGCATGCTATATATTTGTTGTACATATATACCTAGATGCATACAAATGCTCTTACTAAGTGAAATGTCTTTGTTTCTCGAGCGCCGGAAATGCATTTCTTTGACAATTGATGTGAGGAGATTGGAGAATTGGACAACTCAAGTCATTCATAAGCGCATTAAGTATATTTAAAAAAAAAACATATTGCGCTTTTATAGACTTTTAAGAAAACATTGCAAGCAATTTCTTCTAATAAAACTTTCATTTTGAGAATTTTTTTATTTTTCCAAAATCGTCTTATTCTTATTAGATTTTTAACATATGTATACATACACATATATATATATATATGAAAAACTCTTGCGTGATATTACATTGTCATGCCATAATTCGTACGACTAATCCAACTTAAATAGATATATGTACATATGTAAGCACTTACCTCTTGCCGTCGATGCCCGCAATTAATACCACATCGCAGAGTTGATGATTATCCAAGTATAACTGCAAACGTTTTAATACACATTCCGCATGATCACGACTACGGAAATATTCATCTTGACTTACAGCCGATGTAAGGCTGCCTAAACTATAATCACGGGTTAGGGAATCTCCATCCGCGAGTAAAGATATAGGTGCCGAGGTGGATGTCATGGAGTCACGACTAGGGCTATCTTTGTTAGTAGACATTCTCACGTCGTTGTGGTTTTTAGTATTATGTTATTGTATATCAATATACTATTTGTTTGTAAAGATGTATTTAGGTAAATCGCAGTGTATCGTTCACAATTTATCGCTTTGAATAAATGCAAAATTTTTTAATTGAAAAGATATGTGTTATTTTATTCGATTCGTAGCTTATTACTCTATTTCTATTCCGATTGCACTCCAGCGGGATAAACAAAAAGAAAATAGCACCAACACTTTGAACTGCAACTACGGAATGGCAACGTACGTACAACTTGCTCGTTCTGCCAATGAAATGCACTTAACAAAGCGTTGGAGTTAATCAACTAATTAGTCCACTTCTTTGTTGTTGCTGCGTGTATTATAATTTTGGACGTGTGTCGCATTTGAAGCAACTAAAGCTATTGAAACAGCTACTCCTGCTTCCATAAATATGGACTAAAAATTATTTAACTGCGTTAATTACAGGAAGAACGATAGTAAAGCAGAAATGGCAAACGTAAAATAGCAGAAAAACTATCAACTGGAAAAAATAATGAATATAATGTTGCCAAATCGTTTGACGAGCAAAACAATGAAAATGTTTGTAGCAATATTTTTTCCATACGAAAATTTTATACAGTATAAAATGGAATGCATTCATTTTCGTTTATTTTATAGTTGAAATACTGTTCCGAAAGAAATTTTTTAAGATAATAAATACTTTTATTTCACATGTATTTTTGATTGCATGAACTTGGGCAACTCTCTCAAAGGTAAACAACGAAGTAAACAAAAATTGATAAAGAAATGCTGCCACATAATTCTTAAGGATTTTAACATAACGGCAACGCCTGCACTTCCGGAAGCTGTGTTATATCCGGCTTTTCATTTTGCTCGAAGTAACGACAGTTAAATATTATATCAGCGCAAATAAAACTCCTTTTAGTGTGCTAGATTTTCGAGATAATTATTTTACTAATTTAACTAATTATTATAGTAGATTTTGAATTATGACTTAACGTTGGTTTCAAAATCAAGTGCACAGGAAGTAACCCAAATTCGGTAAGGTTCTCCGCCGAAAAGATATTTCATAAGACAACCCAAATACCTATTAAAATAATACATGGCTGACTTAGGTGAGTTTGATAGAAACGAAAAAATACCAAACAAAAAGAAAATGTGTTATAAGGACTTGGATTAGTTTATTCAATAAATACTAAGAATACAACACATATAAGTTATTGCCTGAGTTAAGCTTATATAAAAACGTAAACTAATGTTAAGGGCCGTATTTTCGAGTGCGTGTTAAAATATAACCTCTCTTTAAATTTGTTTTCGGCGGTCAAAGCGCTGGTTAACAATTTATTTTTGCGGCAGCGACATCTGTGCTATTTACAAGCGGAAAACAGCTGATTCACCTATCTACTTGTTTCTTTTGCCACATTATGTAAATATTGTTACGATTTTACTGAATCAACCTCGATTATTTTCTAGATCCTTCGGGTACGATCTCTGGATTGTTAAATAAAAACTCGCCAACTTAGTTTGCAGTTTCTTTCGTTATAAAGATTCTATCTAATGTCCTTTATTCTCTCAGTAATTCACAATTCAATTATACTGCACTTTACTATTTATAATCACTAACATCAACTTTCACAATTTACTCTACTTAAATGTAATTCCCAACGCGTTCACTTTACGTCTTCACTGATGTTAACGCCAACCAATTTGCTTTGTCACTGCCTCACTTGCAGCTGAGTGTCGCCTTTATATAGCAGTCGGCTGCTCGCAGACGAAAGCGTAGAAGCATCGAATTGTTCGCTATGGAAGGTTCTTGTGTTATCGGCTTCTCTCTTTCATCTGACATTCGCCTCGCATTTTCGCAACAATATAATGGAAAATAGACGGCTATTTGTAATTCATTAGGTACAGGAAAGGTTCAAAGAAAGCTCAGTGTGCCATATTGCTGAGAGAAATTCAAGAAATTTTACTTTTAGAACAGTTGGTTTACGCAGCTCCTTTCTTCCTCTTCGCAGCACTGCCACCTTTTTATCTAATATTGAATAAACATTTAACATGAGGACGAGAAAATGAAAACTAATTTTTCATATCGTTAAATATAACTGCCGGTTAAATTTCATGCGCACGAAACCATTACAATTTCGATTAAGCATGGCAGCTTTATTGACGTAACGTGAACCAGCAATACATTCCCTTTGCTGAATTACTTGTAACTGCAATGCTGCCAGCTGTTCGTAAAATATTTCCGTTTCTCTGACAAATGGAATGCACTTTGTAAATCCATTACCTTAACGGTTATTAAGAACGACCCACCAAAGTTTATTTCCTAACTAACTTGATTATATTGCAATTAGTTTGAAATTGTGTTAAAAATTAGGAATGAAATGAAATGAAAGTAATTTACCCATATGTCTATCAGCATGTGTGGCGCTATCGCGCATTTTGATTCAATACCATCGTCTGGCAGCACTACAAACGAAAACGACGAACGGACGAGGCTGGCGAGTAGCGCACTGCTTATAAAATTTTTTCGCAGCTAAAAATAAATAGAAATTCGAATATTCCTTCCCAGAGTTAGTGCAATAAGAAAAAGTGAGTGAAATTAACCTTCAAGCGATGGGAATTAACATTGAACTGGTTTTCTATAAACGTAATATATTTGTGAAGTGATCAATCGATGGCACTGCCATCAGTAGCTGTTGTTAAAAAAATCTCAAAGTCAAAAATACTAGTTGGAGGCGTTGCGACCTCGTTTCCTGGCGTGACGTGCCCAAAAACTCATTGCCTTCACCTCGAAAAATAATCGCATTTCCAAAAGAACAGCTATGCAAATATTTATATCTGAAAATTGGTTGGGCAATTGGAGATACCATGACAGCTAATCGTATTGACGCTAATAAAATCTCGTTAACACCGTTGCTGCCGCAATCACTGCCACTGACTTTGTCACACACCTCGCCTCCCCCTCGATCAACACATCAGCATATTTTCCACTTTCCTTTTTGAGGAAAATATTTTACTTTGCGTAATATTTATGTAGTTTATTTTATGTATGAGTCGCATTGCTGTTCGCTGACTGGTTGATTTGTTGGTTGGCGTATTCAGCGCTTTTAAAAATAGAATTTTTTAATAATGATTTGACTTTCGACGATGTTGTGTTTGTGTTTTGCGAGACATTTCTTCTCGTGCGCGTTTTATGCAGTATTTTAAAAGAGGCTCATTTTCACGGTAATAAAAAAACATATTAAAGGACAAAAAGTGTGTCGCCGCCAAAGCGGCTGGCATAGCTGGAGTGGAGTGTTAAATAAGTCGGTGTGGTGGGGTCAAGAGGCGATTGTATTGTACTCGGACAAGAGTAAAATTGTTGGGCTGGAGTAGTGAAAATGAATGAGAGTTAACGCATTCTACTCGTATGACTGTGGTGTTCGTGCGTACGCATAAACATATATGTACACTTTCATATATGTATGCACATGCCAATTGAATCAGCTGTCCGATGGTTTAAAGTTGTAGGTGTGACAACGGATTTCGTAAATTGTGGGTGTTACTGGCCCAGACGAAGCACCATATGAAGACAAGGAGGCAACGAAGATGACGACGAAGTCGGTATGCTTGGTGACGACGGCTGGCAAAATGATTCTGCTGCAACTGTTGTTGACGTATACGGCAGCGTCTTCGTCAATGTTGTGAACACAGTCGACATACTCTGCTGGCGTTGTCGTTGTCATTGATGTTCGCAGTGCTGCTTATAGTTTTTTTGTGCTAATTCTTTCTTATGTGAGGTGTTAGGTGTGTGTCTGTTAGGTTACGACCGTGACTTTGCTGGGTGGAAAAATAAATAGCCTAAACGAAGTACAAAAAGTAACAAGTTTAATTGTTATAAGAGTAATTAATTGTTTATCATTCAGCTATATTTAGCATGTGACACATATTCGTAGTAGCACGTGAATTCTGTGTAGTGTTTATATTGAGGCAAAGCTGAAGCGTTAGCGGCGGCGCCAGCTGCGTCAGTCATAATGTAATATGCTCTTATTTAATATTTTCTCTACTATTATTACTATAACATGAGAGCAACCCTGATTTCAACCACTTATCGATTACTACTTGGCAAACGTCGCTAAGTCAAAGTGCTACGACCAAAATCATGAAATTAGACAGTGGGGTTAGGAAGATACAGAATGAATCAATCAACTACTATTATGGACTTCCGTGTGTAGCATAGAGCAAAATAACTGTTAATAAATACAAAAATTCTCTTTTCATTACATTAGAACAAAAGCAAACCAAATAACAACAACGGAAAAAAATAGAATTGTTGACCAACCGATGCGATAAACTAACCTGAGGAAACATATCTGAGATCGCTTTTGATAAGTTAGTACGAATTATGTAAGGTAATGGATGTGCGTATAAAATTGACACCAATAAGCTGGACAACAAGTGCACCGACTACTTAGGTAAGGCATTTTTTTACAATTTGTACATGTAGAATTAGATAATTAAACTATTTTTTTTTTTATAATTTCAGTCAGCAGCATTAGCAGTTCAACGACCAAATCAGCAGACAACCAAAAATAACTCTAATAATCATTATACCAAAAGTAGCAAAAAAAAAATAGAAGTAAACACAAGACAAACGCAGTGTGCTACGTCGCCGCTCTTCTATTTTTTTTTTAAATAACTACTAATATGCCTGTGATTTCGCCACGCAGATCATCGACATCGGGCAGTGGCAGTGTATACGGCACCTCCTCGTCCGGTACTGGCAGTACAAGCACTAGTACAGCCGGTGCTTATAGTAGTGCCTCGTCATATTTAAATCGTGCTAATAGTTTGTCTAAGACCACCACACCAAGCAGCTCATTGTGGTCCCCCTCTTCGTCCACGGGAACATCGAAATATTCACCTAACTATTACAGCTCGTATTTGGGAGGGAGTACGTCATCATATTCGCCACGTACAGCATCGCAACGTAACTCTTTATCGTCTTTGTACCTGAGCGGCGGCTCTTCAGGTTTGGGTACTTATCGCAGCAGTTCATCATATTTGTCACCAGCCAGCAGTAGTAGCAATGATACAATTACAACCAGTCGATATGGAGTGAGTAGATAAAACAAACGAAAAAAAAAACTAATACAAAACAAGGAAGAACAGCAAATGTTTTTCCATTGCTTTTGCTAAAACATATGTATACGTCATATAGTGTGTATATACGAGTAGAGTATATATGTAGGAACCCGGTTTTTTTTGCGAGACATTTGTAAAATGTCTTTTTAGCAGCATATAAATAGTAAACAAAAACAGTTGTGTGTCTTATCTGATTAAATGCATTGTAAAAGCATGTAAAACACATACATATATGTCGACATTCATACTTGTGCATATAAAAACATTGCGTGCACCTTCACCTAAAATACATTTTTAACACATAACACACGCCTGCTACACACCTATCCCCAGTGGGACTGGCGTGCGTTATTTACATTGACTTTGCTATGTCAATTTTATAATATTAA